GCTCTGATCCAGATTGGCTCATTATGCCCCTGCATTTAAAAACAACGTTCTACTAAATCGGGTGTCAAACTCGATTTCATTGAGGGCCGCATCAGGGTTGTGCTTGGCCAGGCTAGGGTGGGTGTGGCCAAGGTGGGCGTGGCCAGCTTGACATCATTCATGTTGGGGACACCTGAGGTGGCCCGATTGCTCTGCCAGTGAAAAGGGGCTCCCGAGCTCTGTTTTTGGCTGCAACGGCCTCCTGCAAGCCTTTGTCAGTGAAAACGGAGCTTGGCCATTTTTGCTGGCAGAGGCACCGTGGGCCGGATCTACGCACTCCGTGGGCCGGATCTGGGCTCCCAGGCCTTGAGTTTGACACCCCTGTACTAAATAGTTACAAGCTAGGCCACTAGCGCAGGAACGGGAGGACCAGAAAACCACAGGCCGCAGCAGATTACCATATCCTCCAGTTTAGTATCTGATTGTATTTTAAGTTTCTAAGGAAAAGCAGGACTAAGAACTCTACTGTGTTTGTCCCTGATAAAAGTTTTCCCTTTGCAAAATATGCTGTAAAAGTCCCCATTCAGTGATGTGTGTTAAAAATTAAGGCAGGATGACTTCCGATTCCAGATTGTGCGCTTTAAAAATAGCAACGTTTGTAAAATGTACTAGGTAGGATATGTCCAATCCAACTGGAACAATTTATGACCTACTTTTAGAACACAAACCATGAAATAAATAACCTAGTGGAAGAAACAAGATTATGCTGCCATGAAAATGTGATTGCTTTGTTAATGCCTGACTGCATCAGAATGTGATGGCTGAGATTCAAGATTCCACAAGGAGGGCCTTCAATATTCACATGAAACCCTGCACAAAAAAAATAGAACCATTTTTCCTTTCTCGCTGATGGACTGGAAATGTTTACCCTGCAGCAGCATATCTGACTGCGAAAACTACAGAGATTAGTACAAATTAATTTGATCATGTTTTAGCATTTTTAAAAAAAAAACCCTTTCCCAAATGGTATATCTTATTTTCAGATACAGAATAGGTTCATTATGAATAACTTACTGTTTGGGTTACCCTGGTGATCTTTGCTGAGATGGGGAGGTGGGGGGAGCAGGGAGACTTATGCTGATTGACTTCTTGGACATTTTTAGGAATTTTTCCTAGTTTCAGAATTGTTTCTGAACTGACAAACCCCCCCCCCACCTTGTTCTCCCTAAAGTTAATGTTATGTAAAGATGGAAGAAGGCATCTTAAGATTTGGGTCATTCATTAATTTAGTCATTCGTATTTTTTATGACTCCCCATCTCCCATGGACTCTGGGCAGGGTACAAAACCAAAAAACCTCCACATTAAAACTTTCTCCTTAAATGCAAAGTCAAATAACTTTTCCTTACCACTTGTAAAAAAAAATTAAAACATAAAATCACACACACAACCCAAATTAAAGCAACACAAATCAGAACAACCTCCACCCTGTGCATTAATGCATTAAACTCCGACCAACCAAAGCCAAGTTTTGAGTTTTCCAGGAAACGGGACGCTGTCTTTATCCATAGAATGTGGGGGCCACAGCAGAGAAGACCTTCTTCCTCAATCCTAAAAGATGACAATGACAATATGTAGGACCAGTAACATACCTGTTCTGCTGGAATTGCAGATGAGTTGTCCTTCAAATATCCAGGCCCTGTGCTATATTAAGCTTCATAGATAATAGCCTGCACCTTGAATTGCACTTGGAAGTCAACAGGCAACCAACACAGCTTGCATAGTGGCAGTGACACATGGGCATACAGAAAGGTATTATTCACACCACTGCGTTTTGAACCAGCTATGCTTCCAGGTAATCTTCAAGGGCAATCTCATGTAGAACACATTGCACTAATCCAATTGTGAGGGGTCTCACTCTCATACAACCATTACCTACCCAATTCAAAGTCTAACTGGCTAGGTTTTAGTACTAATAATAATCAGCATTATAAGATAGGATTATAGCATATTTTGCCTCCACTTAAATCCATTATTGTCAATGTTATTGACATTTCAGTACCTAAGGCGTTTTCCAGTATGAGGCTCTGGATAACTATCAATGGTTAGGTTTCTGCTTTTTCCCCCTTTTACTTTATTATTGTATTTCCTACTATATTAATATATCAATATCAGCCTGGAATGGACACTGGATATTCATGAGATCTTTTTAGTAAATGTGTCTCAACACCATATACTCACCATACTGACTTTCTGATAGGAGCTGAAGTCTAAAATCTCTAGATCAAGGGTGTCAAACGCGTGTCGTCACGTCATCACATGACGTATCATGACTTTCCCCCCCCCTTTGCTAAAATGGGGATGGGCGTGGCCAGCGTGTAATGCATCCGGCCCACAGCCCACGAGTTTGACACCCCTGCTCTAGATGATATCAGGTTGCACATTCCTGATTTAGTATAATCCACATTTATGAATATGATTATTTTGCTTCTATTCTTTGACCCAGTTTAAACTCACTTTCACCCATAAGACACCCATTACACCTATTATCACTAGGATGCTCATTAAATATTATTGAGATGATGTATCCTCAGTGTGAAATTACCGAAGAAACTTGGTTTATACAACATTCCAGCTGTGTCAAACACGGGGAAGGTTTTCTTAGCTGTTCAGCCTTACATTAGGCCTTTAGTTCTGAATTTTCATTCTAAATATGCAGTAGGTTGGAATGCAGAATCCTTCCATGCTTCTGAAATTTTGCACGGTTTGAGTCCAAGTGTATCACCCATGGTTGAAAGTATGTCCACCGATGCTTCCCTTGTTTCCACCACTCTACCATTTTTTTACAAAGATGCTTTCAATTAAAAACAACAAAATCAGCATGTTGCAGAGCAAAGCACTAGTCTTTTGTGTGTGTATGTACGTAACTGTATCCTACTGCTTTGATTACAAGTATGCCCTCTTGAGAAAAAAATACAAAGGAAGTGATAGAGAGCATCCTGAGAAAGAAGAATGGATGATTGTGATCCCCTTTGGGAAATAACCTTTATGGTAAGTAGACATTGTACTTATACATTATACCAAGAGCCTTGGTACTACAGTGGTTTAAAGCACCCTGTTATTAACACAGCTGCCTGCAATTTACTGCTGGTTCGAATCTCTCCAAGGCTCAGGGTTGACTCAGCCTTCCATCCTTTCTAAGGTAGGTTAAATGAGGACCCAGTTTGTGGGGGCAATAAGCTGACTTTGTATAAATATACAAAAGTATGAAGGCTATTGCTTAACGCACTGTAAGCCGCCCTGAGTCTCCGGAGAAGGGCGGCATATAAATCAAATTAAAAAAAAAAAATTGTAGGAGGAGAGATATATGTTGATGGCAGCAAAAACAGGACTTGGAAAAGGGCCTACCAGACATCTCCTAGTTTTATTGTAAGTAGGTATTTAGTAACTGGGCCTGCCCATTAAAACAGCTGCCTTGTAACAATTCCAATAAAACGCTCTAAGGTTTCCTAAGGCACATTCTGTACTAGTTCCAAAAAATTGGGGAATCACCATTGCAAGCACTCATGCTGAAGCCACATTACTAAAGCCAATTAGGCCTGGCTCAAGTCAGTGATTGCTTGCAAGACCATTTGGAAAATGCTGGGTTTTGAATCTTTTTTATAATATTTTAAATCATGTCATTGTCCTCCTAGCTGAGGATTGGCTGTATTTATACATAATAAGTAAAGTTGGGATATGCTTTTATTGATATGTCCTAACAGCCTGATTCACACATACTATAAGTCCATATTATTAACCATAATTTACAAACACAATGGAATGTATTTACAGTATATAGTACCATGACCAATGTAAAATAGCATAAAATATACTGTAAAAATTACAAGCCTTTCAGCAATAACAATTTATTTTGCATAGTATAAAGATTAACTAACTGGAATTGATATTTACACAAAACTATAAAAGAGGGTGATACAAGAGCTAATAAAAATGAAAAATATGGAACTAAAAGGCTGGAGCTAATCCATGAATAAAAACAATCTAGACTATAAAATATGGCAAAAGATTAAGAGTTAGCATTACTAACACAAAACTATAAAATATTATGGCTCTAAACACCTAATACATTCTGTAAACCTATCTAACAAGAATGCTACCATTAATAACATCGGACACCAGCTATTTATGTACAGTGTGTCAACACAGCATTACTTTAGAACCTATCAGACTAGAGAAGGAAGCATTATAGCCTAATGCATAAGATCAAAGAGACATACCCACAAATAGAAATTGAACAAGAATAATACAATTCAACAGTACTGTTGATCTTTCTCTACTGATTTACTTGTTTCTATTTTCAATAGATTCTTGGCAACTTCAATTTAATGTACTTTATTTTAGCAGAGCAACATGGTCACCTGGACAGTATAAGGGGTATATTTTAAATGTTTTGAATACAATAATCGTATGCACTGAAAGAAGAGGACCTGCTCAGTGGATTCTAACTTTTTCAACCGAAAATAATGCATATGTTCCAAAAAATGGGTACTTCTTATATCTGCTCTCCAATATTGAAGAAGGGAGAACATTAAAACACATTAATGTGAAGGCCCTTGTGTCCTTTGGAAGCTCTGACTGAAGTTTGCCACTGGGCTATTGAATACCTTTGATTATCAGGAAGTAAAAGATTGGTCAGTCTATAGTTGCTTGAGCTGAGTCCTTATCGTTCACAGTTTTAATCAGGCATGATAGGCTGTCTTTCATGGTTGCATGGTTTTGTTAAAGTGCTTCTTCTTATGGCCAAATCAGTTAAAAACCATATTATGGGTATTTAATGTGAGAAAACAACCAATGTCTATAACTGTATTTCCAATATAATACCCAGATATTTTACTATGTTATGGATACTTCCTTTGGCACCTACCAGCTCTACAGGACTCCTTAGATACATGTAGTGCCAGCCTCTCACTTCTTATTTACTAGATGAGGGAAATTCAGAAGAAGAAAAAAAAGCACACCATTGAGGAGGAATATTTATTTTGATTGATCATGTGCCATCAAGTCAATGTTAACTTTTAGCAACCCAGTGGGTTTTCTCCATAACAATCTGTTCCTAACTTGATATTTCAAGTCTTCCATCTACACATCACCACTATGAAGTCCATCCACTTTGCTGCTGGTCGTCCTCTTTTCTTTCATCTTTCCCAGCATAAGAGCCTTCTCCAATGAGCTGGGTCTTCCCACAATGTGCCTGAAATAGGATAATTTGAGTCTTGTTATTTGAGGAGAAATAACCAATTGTTTATTCAATGATTGTTGAATCCCAACCTTACAAGAAAGATGATCGCCGAAGAATGAGAAGGCAATGTTTCAAGATATTGAAGATTATAGGACAGGAAATTCTAGACATGTGATTTGTTGGCAACTTTTTGGAGAGCTACACAGTCCTTGTCTGTGTATTTAGGGTACACAGTTTTCTTAAGTAAAATGGCCCTTTCAGGAGCAACAGCAGAGTTGGGGAAGTCCTTGTAAAGAGATGAAACATTGAGGTAGGACTTGTAGGAATAGGCAAAGAGAAGAGCAGTGTTAGGTGTTTTGTGCCAGCCATGGCAGTTTCTTAAAAGGCCACCAGATGGGAGCAAAGAGGCACCTTTGATCCCACTGGTGGGTCAAGGGGCTCCGGCCCCTGCAGCCCCATTGGGGAGAGTTAATGGCCTTCCGGCCCCCTCACACACCTTGGTAAGGGAGGGGCCAAGGGCCCCTATAAGAATCCCTGCACAGGGGCTGCTCTTTGGCTCTTGTTCTACCTTCCTACGGGACTGATCCATGGGCTCAATCCAGGCATGGATGCCTCCATGCCAAGGAACTATTTTATCTACTTTATTCCTAAATAAAGATTTAACTTGATAGCATCCTTGCGTGCTGACTTTTCTTGGAAGCGCCCTCAACGAACCATCGATCTTCGCAAGCAGGTCACACCCAAAAAACAGGGAAGAAGGATGTGCAGTCTCTTTTTTGTTTGTACCATCTATTTTTCTCTACCACATTAAACTGTCTCTCAGCCCTACACACAACCTTTCCTAGAAAACAAAAATAAGTGATTAAGCAAATGGGTATTGGCTGGAAGACATATTTATATGGTGATCCATATAAATGTTGATCCATTTATATGATTCTTCTGAATGAAAGAAGAACATAATTCAGGATACAGGCATATACAGGACTGAAGCTGGCAAAGTCAGAACAAAGAATGAGAGATCAGAAGTACTATCTCCTTTTTCTTTTAGTTTTTTTAATTGCCGGAAATCTCACAGATACAATTGGGGCTAGGAAATATGCCATATAAAGTGCACTCTGGGAGATATGTGGTGACAATGAAAACTGGTCAGTTGCTAACCAGCCCTGGACAACATCTTCGAATCTCGCTGTTTGAGGAAATTGCATAACATTCTCAGAGACTCTTCCCATCCTACTTACAATCGTTTTGGACTGTTGCCTTCTGGCAGAAGAAACATAACAATTAAAACTTGGACCACACGTTTTCTGAATAGTTTTTATCCCAAAGCTATAATTGCACTCAACAATGAACTAAAGGGCCGCCATCAGTGAGCTGTTGGACAGAATTACTTGGTCTGTTGTGTGGATGTTTGGGTGGTTTAGGGGTGGGGAATTTGTGGTGGTGGGGATGTTTGGGGATTGTTATGTGTGTTGGACCTGGTCTTTGGGTGTTAAGTGAATTTCGTTGTATGGGTATACTGTGTATACACGTACAATGACAATAAAGTAGTAGTAGTAGTAGTAGTAGTAGTAGTAGTAGTAGTAGTAGTAATTGTTGTTGTTGTTATTATTATTACTATTATTAGTATTAGTATTAGCCCAAGGCAGGAGGCAGAGTATGAAGATCCACAGGGCTTCTGAGACCAAAGGTTTGAGAACTCCAGCCTTCCATTTTACAGGCTCAATTATCTTGCTGAAGCAATTGTAATTATTTTCTCCTGTCATATTAAAAAAGACAGGCCTCCCATTGGGGGAGATGGACATCTCCCTGGATGGCACCAGGACTTTAAAAAAGGGAATGCATTCCAACTGATTCTATGACATTCATTAACACTAAGCATGGCATCTTCTGGGACTTTGGTCAATAGGAATTTGGAGGCGCAGTTCTGGTCCTATTTTTTGAATTTGATGTTAGATGACAACTGGGATTCTTCAATGTTTTAATTTATTCCTTTTTTTTTTCTATGAATAAAGTTCTGGAGAAAATGTAATTGAATGGTATTGAAATATCCTTCAGTCTAATCTCAGATAAGTTGTTGCAAAGAGAAGATGAAGGGAAGCCCTGAGTTTACTACTGTGAGGAAGAAAAATCAGTTAATAAAAATGTATCAAAAGTTACTTGGAAATTGAGTTATTCCTGGAAATCTATTCACTCATGGCATAGCCAGCGCAACCAGCCTCTAGCAGTAATTATTACGGCTGAGAATATTTATGATTTGGAAGGGGTATTTTGGAATGCATGGGAAAACAAGCATGGTATGTCTTATGTGTGTCTTTTTTAGAGGGGAGGGGCTCATGTGGAAACCTGAAGAAAACACATTACATTAAAGAGGTGCCATGTTAGCAATAGCAATAGCACTTAGACTTATATAATGCTTTACAGTGCTTTACAACTCTCTCTAAGTGGTTTACAGAGTCAGCATCTTGCCCCCAACAATTTGGGTCCTCAAGTTTACCCACCTCGGAAGGATGGAAGGTTGAGTCAGCCTGGTGAGATCTGAACTGCTAAATTGTAGCCAGCCGGCAATCAGCAAAAATAGCTTGCAGTACTGCACTCTAACCACTGCGCCACCATGGCTTATTAAAGCAGATATGTCTTTAACACAACCTACCCTGTTTCCCCCAAAATAAGACATCCCTGTTAATAAGCCCAATTGGGCTTTTGAGCGCATGACAATAAGTCCAAGCGCTTATTTCAGAGGTCTTATTTTCGTGGAAATATGGTATTAAAATAGCCATTTCTTGTGCCATAAACTTGAAAAAATGTGTGGTTACTTAAAATGCTTCTGGGATGTATGCATTCCAAGCATCCATTTTGAATAATTTTTGCAGCATGTATGTACAGCCCAAGTAATTATATGTTTACATGAAACACATTCCCTTCAAAATGCAAGGTCAAGTAACTTTTCCTTACCACTTGTAAAGAAGCATAGCATTTATTTTCAGCTATGTTAGACTATGGCATGATACTATGTCATACTTTGATCTGCTTATGAAAGATGCATTTTCATAAAGCCATGCCCACTTTTTGTTAATGTATAGCCCTTTTTTTTTGTAGAGGCCATAATGTTGAGTCAGAAAGACATGCTGAAACACTGAACTTTGGAATTGCCATACCTGATGAGACATGTTGGGAACAGAGTCCAGTAACCTATTTCAATATTACCTGGGAAGACTGAAAGTCGGTACATTGACTCACCTTGATTGTCTTATTGCAGTTTCAGTGTTAAAAATCTCACCTACACAGGACAGAATTATAAACTAGACCCACAGTAAGTAAAAGGATCTTAGCTCTTTGCTTACAATCCTATCATCCGTAAGTCCTTTTGATTGATTGAGAAACTTCTAAATAGATAACCATAGGCTTCTACCATAATGTTCTACCGTAATATTTTTAAATATTTCTCTTCTTTTTAAATCTCTTCTCCTCCTGCAAATAATCAATAGCAGTAAAGTAATAAAAAAAAATACAGAAATAATGAATTTTTAAAAAGGGAGAACTGAGAATTGTTTAAACTAAATTCACATGCTACAGCAGGAGTGTCAAACTCTATTTCATTGAGGGCCACATCAGGGTTGTGTGTGACCTCAGGGGGGCGGAATGGGCGTGGCCAGGGTAAGTGTGGCCAGCTCGACATCACTCGTATCAGGGACACCTGTGGAGGCCCGAGCGCTCTGCCAGTGAAAACAGGCTCCTGAAAATGGAGCCAATGAAAATGCAACCCTCTGCCAACCCTCTGCCAATGAAAATGGAGCTCGGGAGGGCACACACAGCCCTCCCAAGCTCTGTTTTCACTGGTAGAGGCACCGCGGGCCGATTCTTTGCTGTTTCCAGGGTGGCCCTGCGGGCCAGATCTAAATACCCTGCGGGCCAGATCCAGCCCCAGGGCCTTGAGTTTAACACCCTGTGCTACAATTAGCTATACAGATAGTCCTCAACTTGCAATAGTTCATTTAGCGACTGTTCAAAGTTATAATGGCACTGAAAAATGTGACTTAATGATTATTTATCACAGTTATGACTTTTGCAGCATCCCCATGATCATGTGATCAAAATTCAGATGCTTGGCAACAGGTTCATATTTATAACTGTTGTTGTGTCTTAAGGTCATGTGACACCCTTTGGTGACCTTCAGACGAACAAAGTCAATAGGGAAGCTAGATTTACTTAAGAACCGGGTTACTAACTTATCAACTGCAGTGATTCACTTAACAATTGTGGCAAGGAATGTCATAAAATGGGGCAAAACTCACTGAACACATGTTTCACTTAACAACAGAAATTTTAGACTTAACAACAGAAATTGTGGTCATAAATCAAGGATTACCTGTAGTTGTTTAACCCTGGCTTGTTCAGCACAACTGTTTGGGTTCATAAAGGGCTTTTAGTCGCAAGCCGTGGTTTACAAACTCTAAAGGCTATGCTCACAAAAAAAACTATATTATGATATGATGATGAGTGAATTTATTGAATTGATACCTATTCTAATGACAACAATTCGAAACATAATCTTCAGCATCTCCAAATAGGGCTGGAAAACACTCATGTCTAAATCCCATTAAAGAATTGCTACCAGTCAATCTGGATTCCCCCTGTGTATTTTCTGTGGAACAGCCTCTTCGGATCTTGCATTGAAGAGTTGGCCAGCAGATTCTCAAATCAGGTCAATGGGTCCATTCTAACTACTCCAAACTGCAGGTAGGTAAACAACTAAGGATTGTATTAACATATCAGCAAAACAAACAGTGTAACCTGCTTCACCCGCAGTGCCTATCAGAGGCCAAAAGTGTCAAATATATGGAGGGCTCCAGTTTACAGGTAATCCTTGACTTACAAACAGAGGGTGGGTTTCAGCAGGTTCTGACCAATTCTGGAGAACCGGGAGCGGAAATTTTGAGTAGTTCAGAGAACTGGTAGTAAAAATTCTGACTGGCCCCACCCCCATCTATTCTCTGCCTCCCAAGTCCCAGCTG